AGCAACATTCTACACACACACACCTTCAAAATGAGGGGTGTTCAGGTTTTTTAAATGCAAAATTGAAAGAAATACGTCAAGTTGATATTGACCAAATTTTGACCGTATCACCCTTTAGGAGCAGTTGGATAAAGCACTCAGTTTAGATCGTATTTTCAAAGTGCCAGAATTAAGGAAAAAAATAAATGATTTATTTCAAGTTCGTAATTAACTTTATGAAAGATTCGAGCCCTTCATTGCAATCCCATTAACTTCACAGCAATGGTAGGAACTTTGGAGAAGTTCTAAGGAATGAAGCTTTAAGAACCTCAAAGCGGTTCTATTAGCATCCGAAAATTTTCAGGAACTTTTACGAAGTTCCTAGAATTTCATATAACTTCACAGGTGTCAAGCGAACTTGAGAAATATAGAAAACTTGAGGGGTATCGTGCAAATTTTTAAGAAGTTCTAAGCACCTCAGAAAAGCTAGATCTAGAGATCATTGGGGAATTTCAGATCTTAAGAGCAGTTCCCGTAACTTTAGTCCAGCCTTTTGGAGCAGTTTGAAGATCTATAATCGTAAATTTAGACAAATTCAGGATAGTTCCATGCCCAAGTAACAATTTGGGTTTTATGAAGGTTCTGTAGACCATGATTTGGACTCGTAGAATGCTTTAAAACCTTGATAAAACTTGAAATGTTACTTGGGTGATGTGCTGGAAAAAAAATCGAGTACCCTTAGGATATTCCGAAAATTTTAGGGAAGTACAGAGGCCTTCAGGGCCTCCCTTAGCTCAGTAGGTAAAGGCGCAGCTACAAAGCAAGACCATGCTGGAGCTAAGTACTGGCATCGAAAGCTCTCAATTAATAACTGTGGAAGTGCAACTAGAAAACTTAGTCGAGAGCACGCAATAAGCTAATATGCGATTGAAATGCGAAAAAGAAGTAGAAGAGGCCTTCAGAGAATTTATGAAATATTTCAGGAACTTCACAGAAGTCCAGAGAATTTCAGAGAAATTTAACGGTGTTTACGGAAATTCAATTAATTTCCGAGCAGAATCGAGATCTTCAATAGAATTGAGAGATTTAGGGAAGCTTCGAGAACATCAAGACAGATCAGAGAATCAAAGGGCAGTTCAAATAATTTCAAGGAAGTTGTAGAAACCTTAAAGAAGTTTCGATAAACTCAGGGAATTTCCGGAAACTTCAGCAAAGCTCCGAGAGAATTTCTGGAACGTTGATAAAAATTATATGAACACCCGGAAAATGGGAGAATATTTTAAGGGTGTTATTTCAAGAACATAAAAAATGCGAAAATTTAGCTAAGTTGATTAGAGAACATCAACGAAATTCCAGAGAACTTCTAATAAATTTAGATATTTTTAGATAGTTTCATGATATTCAGCAATGAGTTCTGCAAATTTGCAGCGACTTACAAGGAGTTCCGTGGAATTATGGGGTATTCCAAGAATTCTATGATTGATCCGAAAATGTCAGAAGCGTCAGAATATGCACACTTAGAAATGATTACCGATTTAGGTAAATTTTACCGAACTTTCAACAGCTGTACTGTTCGGTTAAAATCAGGCATTTTAAAGCTTCAAAGCATGGAAAACTTCACCGCAATGGCACGACTCAATTATTTAAACAAGCCTGACAGTGTTTTGAAATTAAAATTTAGTGAAACAGCTTTTGAAATAAGGGTCAAATTTTACCGAACGTTCGGTAAAAAATTACCTAAGTCAGTTCTGATTTCTAAGTGTGTGTATCCGAAAATTTGCTGGATTATTAAACAAATTTAGAGAACTTCAGGTAAGCATAGATAAGTTCAGGGAAAATTAGTGAGCGTTTATTATGGTCGAAACTTCATGGAAAATCAATTAATTTCAGTAAAGTTGCGAGGTCTTAAAAAATACTGATAATTTAAGGGCAGTCTATAGAACTTTAAAGAAATCCAGTAGCACCAGGAAAGTCTAGACTATTGAAGAAGTTTTAAATTAATGTCGATAATTTAAGGGAAATTTCATGAATTTTAGAATAATCCTGAGAACTTCAGTGAAAATCATAAATTGCGGGAGCAAAAAAGTTCCACAAATTTAGGAGGACAGTGGTCTTCAGAAACATTTCGAGAACTTCATAGAAATCTATGGAGTTTAAGGAGAGATCCGCGAACATCAGGAATTTTGCATGAACATTAGCAAAATGCGGGAGCATTTGAAAAAAGTTAAGTAATCTCCGAAAATTGGAGGAATTTCAGGGGGAGGTTAGTTCTATTAGTTTCAGAAAATTAGTGGGAAATTTATAGAAGTTCCCAGATTTTCAGATAACTACAGAGACGTTAAAAAGTTAATTGAAGTCTTCGCATAAGTTCAGAAGTTGACGGAAGCTTAAACATGAGAACTGCAAAAACTTTAGAGAAGTTTTGAGAATTACAGAAAATAACAGAGAACCTCAGAGCAGTTCCGTTAACATTAGAGAAGTCACATAAATTTTAAAGAAGTTTAGAGTACTCTAGAGGAGATACATGATCATTAAAAAAATTCAGGAAACTTTATGAAGTCCTATAAAGTTCAGGGAAGTTTAAGAATTTGATGAGAAGTATTGTGAGCATCTGGCATCAGCATCATCACTTCAGGAAAAAATGGGAACTGTTAAGTAGTTCTGAAGACCTCAGAATAGTCCATTCCATATTCAACGGAGACTTCCATTGAAATATTCCTCAAAATTTCGATGAAACTATCCTTTCCATTCCATTTTCTTTTAGTTTTCCTCGGAATTACATTGCAATTCTCCACAATAAGAAACCCTTTGGAAAGATTCTCCGAATATTGATTGAATTCATTTCAGATTTCCTTTTGAATCTCACTCCTTCCCTTGGAATTCTACTCACATTGAAAGTATCCTAAGAATACATCGGCATTTCTCCTCACAAATTCCTTAGATTTTTTTCTCATAATTTGTTTGGCAAACTCTCCTGAATTTATGTTTTGAATCCCTTTGAAGATGTCCTGGAGTTATTCTCAGATTTAATTGTAACCCTCCTTTTAGTATTTTCAAAAACTGTCCAAGGACTTACCCGGAGCTCGTTTTCTCCCACAAACATTATGAAATTATCCTCAGAATTCCTTTGGAATTTTCCTCCGATGTTCACATGAGTTGTGCTTCTCAGAAATTCCTAAGAGTTTTAATTAAAATTTACTTTTAATTCAATTCAGGGTTTCATGAAATTCTACCCAAAACTATCAGGCTTCACAGGAATCTGAAATTTCTCAGAACTACCTTGAAAGCAGATTGCTTTTGATGTTTTTTCTGAAAGATTTTTTCCCAGAACTCCCATATCGTATATAAGTGTTTATGAGATACTAATTGAATAAGTCTAAAACATCAAACAGTTATTTGGTGTGTCATCATAATGACTACTTTTCTTCTCTTAGATCACTTTTTAGCCACTATTTGTACAACTATAAGTCACTATTTGTTCACTTATTTATTCAACATGGTCACTAAGGCTGTAAACCATTTGCCGAGTTAAATTTAATTCGTGGTTAAAAGTGACATTTCGAAAGTTATTTTCTATGTTCGAAAATCCCTGTGCTATCGATCGACCGGTTTTTGAGAAGAACTTAGCCGAGGTTGTCAAAATTTAACTTCTTGTCTGTCAGTAGTAACCACGCTCGGATAGAAGGGGTAATCGATAACTTTCCATCTGTCAAATTTTAACCAAAAGTTAAAATAATCCAGCAAATGGTTCAGAGCCTTAAAACACTATTTTTGACAGCACTGATCGCTACCAGCCCTGCCATTAGCTGAAGCTGTGGTGTACAGCTTTCCCCCGAAGAGCGCGTTACCCACTGAGTTGCACCCACTGCTTTGTCTCGGTGGGTTTTTAACCAAGTGCTCTGATTTCCTGCGAGTGACTAGTTCTCCATTGGCACTACTCACATGCAAAAAGTCAGACCGACTGGTTGAAACCCCACCGAGAAAAAGCGGTGGGTGCAACTCAGTGGGTAACGCGTTCTTCGGGGAATAGCTGTATGCTTCATTTTTGAAAAACAAAAACTATTGGCAACCCTGAGTAGGGTGAGTGAATGAGACGGATTCTTGGGCCATTGTATTGCAGCGTGGGGACCTTGTTTGTGTGTATCACCACGATCCTTGAACTTGGATGACAAATTTTCAACGCACGCATCCGGCAGAGCGTCACCCCATCTAGCAGGAAGAACACCAATTTCGCATTCTCACATTCACCATCACACTGCGTTGAAGGCTTTGTTGTTCTTATTTGTAAGCGTCATCGGTGCACCTCAGTGACTTAAATGCCATCCCCCATTCGTCAGCGACGAGCTTGATTCATGCAACTTGTAGTAGGTACCTACTAGAGAGCATGAATCATCTCTAAGCTTTTGATTTCAGCCTCAAGTTGAGTGCCCTCCGCAGACGTCCTTTCCGAAAGTTTAGTGAAGGTCAAATAGGGCTCGCAAAAAACCCACATTATACCGATTGCAGAAACAACACTCAACGTCTATTATGAGCTGACTTTAACTGGAGTGTAAGAACAGAACAAGAACCGTCGACCTCGCTCATGTGCCTTAATACGTGTACGGCTGGTGTCGGTATGAGTGGTAACATATTTTAGTATCCAAGGTAGTGCTTGCGATTTTTTTCCGACTTGAATTTCCCGTTTCTACACGAATGCTTTTTATTTCCTTCTGTATTACAACCAGCTCATGTTCATGTTCAGAGACCGCGCCAACCAATTAACCAAAGTGCCTTTCTGGACCAGCAGATCAGCACATTCCTTGAATAGGTGGCTTTTGTGACACAGTAACAGTCGATTTGTGAGGAATGTGCCGCGTATCTAATTGAATTCGATTGGCTGCAGCGCCAATTCAATTATCTGCTTTTTTGGCTCCTTTCACTCATTCGCAGTTGTTTTTTTTTTTTTTTTCTATTTCGCGAGACAACCGAAACCTAATTGATGGGCAAAACGAAATGGAAAAAAAAAAATCAGGACTACTCACCCGCAACGATCGCGAATAGAACGTAGACTAGACTGAGTTGCACCAGGAGGAGCTGTCCGGATCCCGATTTCCCTCGAACGGTGCTGAAAATTTTACATTTCCGCGACGGGAAAGTCGTCATTTTTGCTGCTTGGCTGTTTTCTGCTGTCTTGCACGCTCACACACACACACACTCGCTCTCCCCTCGCTCTGCACGGCGTTCACTCGCCCCTCGGTGCTACGCGTATATTTGTATATGTGTTAAATTTCAACTCTCACTTTGGAGCTTTTACATTTCACCTTTTTTCCCTCAGCAAACTCTAGGGTTTTCCCTTCAGCAGCATACAACACTTAAATCCAGATCTTCATTTTGCAATGATGTTAAAATTGAGGATCACTCGTTCCGAACTCCGGCCATCACTTCACCATAAAACGCGTTTCGATCGCGGAAATCAACTCCGCGAGCAAGAGGCGGAACCTTTTTTTTCGTCTTGTGGACTAGCTGACTGAATGGTTGCTGACGACGACGACGACGACGACGACAACTGATCACGATCACCACCATGCACGAGAAACGTACGCAACGAAAGCAGATCAAGCAGACCTTGGACTAGCCGACCGAGTGTTGTCTGCTGTGTGTTCCACTCTAAACTAGCTGCTGCTGTTCGATCCAACCCACCCCAACATATCGGTCTGACCAACCAACCGACAGTTCATTCCTTCGTTCATGTTGGGTGTTTTTCGCGATCGCCCGTAGCGGTAATTTGCCTTTCGTTTTCATTCCGCCCGTTCTCTTCGCTGATTTCGAGTGGTCATTTCGGTGGTGGTAAACGCCCCAAAGTGCAACGCAGCGCGGCGTGAATGCATGATCTTGACGACTGCATTATTTCCTACACACGTATGAAACCGGCTGGTTGGTTTCGTTGGAGGGGTATTGGTAAGATCACCCAAACAAGTCCATGCCAGATGCAACTCATGCCAGCTGCAGGTTTGATGGTTGCCAATTTCTATGTAGACGGGAATGAATGAATGAATGTTGTGCTATGCTTTGAGTTGAGCTTACCTTAGTGGATGGTTGGTTCATTTTATCTGCCTGATGGTTATCTGTATGGTGCCGGTGTAGCGCTGCGCGATCGCGTGCTCGACTCGAGTAGTTTTCAAGCATGGTCACAGTAGCGTCCTGAAAAGAATATCAAATACAAGTGCGGTTGTGCAGGTTTGCAAACAAAATCGAACTGGTTACAGTTACAGATGTAAATTCCCTCTAGAGTTTACAGTTGCTTCACAGCGATATAAACGTGGAAAAGCTCAGGCGTGCACCTCTTAGTTCGCCTTTTTGTCCACCTAAAATATTAATAAGTATTACAAGCAATCAAGAGTTAATGAACAATCAACAAAGCATCCTATTACACTAGCAACCCCGCAATCTGATGCTATCATAATTTTCAGCAATGTCAGGAATGCTCACGAACCCCCAACATTTGCCAGAAAACTTACTACTAACTCAAGGTATCTTCCAAATAAGCTGCAAAATTGCATTTTTTTTTTATCAAATGTTAAATTCAGTCCTCTATATCCGTAATACGCGCACGAGGCTCAAACCTTTGTAAACTACTTTTTTAATTAATCTACTACTATTAAATCAAATATTAAAAATTCATCATCACCATCGTGGCGAACAGAAATAGTTTTTGCAGTGCTACAATAATTATTAAAAAAGTCGTAATGACAGCTATCCATATAAAATAATCCGTTAGAGATAACTTCGTCAAGATACATATTTTGTCAATTCATAAAAAAATCACTGGATAACCGCTCAAAATACAGTTTTAACGTGTGAAATGCAGTGTCTTTTAAATTCTGTAAGTGTAGCTGAACGTTTTATATGTCTAGGCATCGAGTTGAAAACATTTATTCCTTTATAATATAATGAATTTTGTGAACCACAAGTCAAGAAATGTGGTATTCTTATTTCAACCGCGTTTCTAGTTTTATATCTATGAAAGTCACTTCCTCTTTCAATTCGATCACACAAATATCGAGGCAGCTAACTACTTTAAAAATGAACACCATAGTCAAATATACAATTTTTTACTTCACCGACAACGATTGTAAGGCGTCTAGCTTCAAAGTTGAGGAAGTGAATCTATTCTCAAAATTAAACGCATTATTTTGCTCCACAACCGCTTTATTTTCTATATTTGTGTTTCATTGGACAGAAATAAAATGGAAGGGCAAAAGTCTAGATGAGGAGAGATGATTGATTTGTATAGCTGTATTTTACTGGCAATAGTTAAATCGTTTTTCAGTCGACATAGAATTCCATACTTCTTGGCAATTTTCTTGAGAGTTGAACTTAAGTGTGTCATCAATAATCACGCCAAGATATTTAATCTCCCGAACGCGATCAATAGTCTCATCATCAATTACAACAGAGACGTTCTCATTTACTCTATTTCGCGAAATTACCATAAATTTAGTTTTACTTGTATTCAAGTAAATAGCAGTTGATTATACTTCAACCATCTACTTAGAGAACGCAAATCTTCATTCAAGCGAGGGGGACGACTCTATATACGCTGCAGGAAAGATTGTGTTGTGTTGTGGCTAGTTGCTTGCACGCTGAGTAGATAGAAAGAAGGTTGAAGACGATTCTGAAGATTTCCTGCAAAAAGATGATGCGCCATGTAAGTAGATGCGAGAAATGCAAGAAGATTTTTCGAAGATTGATTCGCTAGTGTGAGATTTTTTGAGCATCTAAAATTGAGATTTAGATGTGTCGCCCCCTCGCATTCAAGTGTAAAACGGCATCATCTAAATCCTTAGCTGCAATGAATAACACAGTATCATCTGCAAAAAGATTAATGTCGCAAAATCGTAAAACACGTCGCAAGTCATTAATATACATACATGTGGGACGATTGGTGTACCCTCCGGTGGGAAACGAAGAAAAACTTAGTTCAGTGGTTACTATCGACCGATGCACACGCATCTTCGCGTTTGTAAAACTTTAAATTTAATAAAGCTAATTTCTGTATTTCTCACCAACTCCTCTCCCTCTTTTCTTACATGGGGGCTCGTCCGGGATGGAGTTATCGAGAAATTGTTCGGTTGACGCGTTAATATCGCTAAAAAGTGATTAAAAGTTGATATGAGAAGAACGCCATTCCTCATTCAAAATGGCGGAACAAGTGGATGAGTTGTGCGAAATTTTCACGAAAGCCGGATTGACGCGTGAGTGTGAAAAGCGTGGCTTGTCTTCGGATGGAAGCAAGAAAGAGATAGCGCAAAGAATCGTATACTTCGACAAAACGCACGACGGTCGTTCGCGTACCAATAACGAGGTACGGGATGACAAGCGAGACAATGATGATTATGCGGACGAGGCCGCAGTACACGATGACGGCGAGAATGATGGCAACGTTGTAAACGACGATGATGATCACGATGACAACGATGATAAAGAGGACGGCGATAGTCAAGCTCAAGACGACAACGATAGCAATATGTTTGTCACTGCGTTGACGAGGGGAAATAGACGAACATCCACACCTAAAGATCGTTTCATGCCTGAGCGGCACCAACCGTATTCGTTCAGAGACGTTGAGGATAGCATTGAAACATTCGGTGCTGAAGACGGGCAGGACGTTAAGCTATGGATGTTGCAGTTTGAAGCGATATCCCGAACAGCTGGTTGGAGCGACGAACAAAAGTTGTTCATGTGCAGGAAGAAGTTGACGGGCACAGCACGAAAATTTATGTTTGCGCAACGAGATATCACTTCGTTTGCCAAACTGAAGAACGCATTGATTAAGGTTCTACAAAGGGTCATTATTTTGTTTACTTCTTCTTTTTGAAATATTCTTCGATCATCATTTTCTAAATGTATTGGTAAAATTCATTGGAAGTGCATATCCCCACGCCAAAACTGCCCATTTTTCATAACTATCAACTGGTATGGTGAGGAAAACTTAACCATCTCTTTTCTTCCTTCATTTCAATACAACAGCAAATGTTATGTCACACTATCTAGTGGATAAGAATGTAGCAGACAAAACATAAGCACTGCCAGACTGCGCTGTATGCAAGTTTGTTTACACCCCTGAGCGGGAAAGTGTATAACAGGCTACGTGCACTGCTGCCATCAACCCTGTTAGTGTTGAATTCAATCTTCTGTGACTTTTTTAATTAGACCGGTAAAATGTTTAAAATGGTCATTTATGTTTTATTTAATCAGTTTTTGATATTTATCCACCATTAAATACATCCACTCATCTATGTTAATAAGGCAGACTTCGCAATTAATTGTTTTAATAAACTTAAATTCATTGCTAGAGGCAATACATCTGGCACCGCTGTTTCAATGATACTTTCACGATTGCTAGCAAAGCAGTAAAGTAGAAATGGTTTTCTTTGTGATGAATTTTGTTCACCAAGAGTTTTGTGAAGCAGTTGTTTTGAGTTTCGTGTATTCGATTGCGTTTAATTGTGCTATACTTCGAAGAACACAAGTAAGTAAATACAGTGAATGTGTTTTACCCAGGAAATTTTCGTGTTTTACCCACGAAATACCTGTTTTAAATTTTCGTATTCATAATATATGAATGTATGTGTAAACTAATGATGATGATTTTATGATATTTAAAGAAGAAGAAGAACACAAAATTACTTACCTTTTGTAGAACCTTAAAGAGTTTGCCCCTTTCATTCGTGCGAGTGACATCCATCGCCAGCTAGCAGCGCGAAAGAGAAAATCTAACGAAGCCATACGTGATTACATCTACGAGATGCAACGTATCGCCCACTCCATCGACCTCGATGAGCCGAGCGTTTGCGAGTATATTGTTGACGGGATCACCGATGATGAATTCCACCGATCGTTGCTTTATGAAGCGCAAACAATTCGACAGCTGAAGAAGAAGTTACTTAACTTTGAAAAAGTGCAAAAGAAGATTGTCGTAAAGCCGAAGCTACACGAAGGCCAGCCAAGGAAAAAGGAGCTACGCGAGAAAGAGATGAAAAAGCAACCGGGATCAAAGAAGAACTGCTTTAACTGTGGTGATGCGTCACACTTTGCCGATGAGTGCCCGCAGAAGAACGACGGACCGAAGTGTTTCAACTGTAATTTGTTCGGTCATTTGTCAAAGAACTGTACGAAGTCGAGTGAAAAAGTGAAACACGAAGGCGTCAAGAAAAGTGTATTGAAAGTGAACACATTGAAAAGTGTTGATAGCGTGAACCCGAGTGTGTTGGTTAACATTTATGACTATGAGATCAGTGCAACCGTTGACACAGGAAGCGAAATTTCTCTAATCCGAAAAGATTTTTGGATTGGATT